CCCCTATATGGGTTTCACTGGTGCAATTTGGTATGTACTAGGGGGGGGAAGTCCGTCCCCTTTTTACAATTTTATTCACTTCTATGGATCAACTGAGTTCTGCACCCAGCCACTAGCAGCCACTTCAGTATACCACTTATACTTACATAGAAACATAGAATGTGACGGCAGATAAGAACCATTCGGCCCATCTAGTCTGCCCAATTTTCTAAATACTTTCATTAGTCCCTAGTCTTATCTTATAGTTAGGATAGCCTTATGCCTATCCCACGCATGCTTAAACTCCTTTACTGTGTTAACCTCTACCACTTCAGCTGGAAGGCTATTCCATGCATCCACTACCCTCTCAGTAAAGTAATACTTCCTGATATTATTTTTAAACCTTTGTCCCTCTAATTTAAGACTATGTCCTCTTGTTGTGGTAGTTTTTCTTCTTTTAAATATAGTCTCCTCCTTTACTGTGTTGATTCCTTTATATATTTAAATGTTTCTATCATATCCCCCCTGTCTCGTCTTTCCTCCAAGCTATACATGTTAAGATCCTTTAACCTTTCCTGGTAAGTTTTATCCCGCAATCCATGAACCAGTTTAGTAGCCCTTCTCTGAACCCTCTCTAAGGTATCAATATCCTTCTGAAGATACGGTCTCCAGTACTGTGTACAATACTCCAAGTGAGGTCTCACCAGTGTTCTGTACAATGGCATGAGCACTTCCCTCTTTCTACTGCTAATACCTCTCCCTATACAACCAAGCATTCTGCTAGCATTTCCTGCTGCTCTATTACATTGTCTGCCTACCTTTAAGTCATCAGAAATAATCACCCCTAAATCCCTTTCCTCATATGTTGAGGTTAGAACTCTATCAAATATTCTGTACTCTAGCTACCGCCTCTGCGACTGATTTAAATAAGTAGACCAGTACCCATAGGAACCTATCCAGTGACTTCTACCTCCTTTACAGTTACTGGGATTTTTGTGTTTGGCTATTGGGTTGGGTCCTCACTATCTTTAGAGGTGTTTCCAACGGTACCATCAGGTGTCTGGGGTTAACGTGACATTACTTGGGGATCTATTAAGGCCCATATACTATGAGCTACGTTTAGCCCCTAATTACCTATGATTTGTCTTCATGACATTAGTTACCGGGTATTTTTACTAGGTGAAGTTTTCACTTTTCTCATGATTTCTACATGTTGTTTTTTTGGAGTTCGTTTGAGTATCTAGCAATTTTGCCTTTAGTTTAATTTAATTTATATATATATATATATATATATATATATGTTTCCTCACCTCCACTACCACAGATCGCTACTGATGTTGCCCCCTTACCATCATCATCTTTCCCCATCCCGTCCCCTGATGCTGCTTCTTCCTTAACACTCACTACCGTACCTCCTATTTCCCACACCCCCAGTATGCATTGTTCCTTCCGTGACTACACTGGCCCCCCTTCCTGTTATTCCTTCTGCCCCGATTTCCTCATTGCCATCACCCTTGGTGTCCCCAGGGGTGCCCGTGATTCCTCCCCCTAATGTTGCTCCTGCCGCTTCTATTAAGATTTCCCCACTCCCTGCTGTCCCTCCGACTCCTGTCCTAGATTCCTCTCCCCTTCCCATTTCCAGTCCCCTTCCTTCTCCCTCTGTTGACCTCTCATCCCTTGTCTCAGCCCTCACCACTGCCCTCACTCCTACTTCTCCACCCCTTCCTACTCCTCCTATCCCCATTCCAGAACCTTTTACACCCCTGTAACCTCCACCCCTCTTGATCTCGCCCCTCTAGTCTCAGCCCTTACCACTGCCCTCACTCCTACTTCTCCACTTCCTCCTACTCCTCCTACACCCATCCCAGAACCTTTATTACCACCCGCATCCTCACACCCTCTTGATCTTTCCTCCCTAGTCTCCGCCCTTACCACTGCGCTCACACCAACCCTGGCTCCTATTCCTCCGCCCTGTACTACTCCCCCTGTTCCCATTCCGGAACCTTCTCCGCCTCCCGCATCCTCTGCTTCCCCCGACCTTTCCTCTCTCATTTCAACTCTCATCGCTTCACTCTCTACTCCCCCCGTTTCCATTCCAGAGCCTTCACCTCCTGTATCCTCTCCTTCCCCCGATCTCTCCTGTCTTACCTCAGCCCTTGCTACTTCTCTTGGTTCCATTCCCCATTATCCACTCCCTTCCATTCCTCCTCCTCCTGTTCCAGAACCTTCTCCTCTACCCGTACCCTCTCCTCCCCCTGATCTTTCGTCACTCATCTCCGCCCTTACTGATGCACTTGCTTCCAATACCACTCCTGGTCCTCCACCCCTCCCTATTCCTCCTGCCCCCGTAGTGGATCCTCTCTCCTCTCATCGTGATCTTCCATCCCTTATCTCCACCCACTCTACTCTCCTCGCCCCTGGCTCCACTCCCACTGCTCCATCCCCTTCCATTTCTACAGTCCCAATGTTAGAACCTCCCCCCCACCTCCTTCTCCACAACCTGCTCCTCCTGTTTCTGTTTCAGATCCTTCTCCCCCTCCTACCTCTAACTCTGGTGTTTCTACCCACGATCTTGCATCACTTATCTCCTCCCTCTACAACCACTGTCTCAGCTTACCCAACCCGCACCTTTACCCATTCTAGTCCCTATTCCTACCCCTCCGATAAACGCCCCCAGTTATCCGCTCATGATTGTTGGGACAAATGAGTCTGTCACATCAGGACAACCTCAGGCTGCTGA